GCACACGAAACCACATCCACACTGGCAACACGAAACCACATGAAACCTGTCGGCTACCATGCTGGCCACACAAAACCACATGAAACATCTCGAGTATCACGCTGGACACATGAAGCCACATGAAGCAGGTGCCATGCTGGCCACACGAAACCACATGAAACATGTCGGGTACCACACTGGCCACACGCTGGCCACAGGAAACCACAGGAAACATCTCGAGTACCACACTGGCCACACGAACCAAAGGAAACATCTCGAGTACCACGATGGCCACACGAAACCACATGAAACATCGTGATTTCCAGGCTGGCCACACAAAACCACATGAAACAACGAGTAAACATCTGAAGTACCATGCTGGCCACATGAAACCACATGAAACATCTCCACTACACGTTGGCGACACGAAACCTCATGTCTCGACCACCACACTGGCCACCGGAAACTACACGAAACATTTCGAATATACCACACTGGCCACGGGAAGCCACATGAAACATCTCCAGTGCCATGCTGGCCACGCGAAACCACATAAAACATCTCGTGTATACTACACTGGCCACGCGAAACCACCTGAAACATCTCGAGTACCACGCTGGCCATACGAGACCACATGAAACATTTCGAGTAACGCGCTGGCCACACGAAACCAAATGAAGCATCTCGAGTACCATGCTGTCCATCGAAACCACATGAAACATCTCGACCACCACATTGGGCACGCGGAACTGAACCACATGAAACATGTCGACTACCAGTTACTACCACGCTGGCCATACGAAACCACATGAACTATCTCGAGTACCAAGCTGGCCACACGAAACCACATGAAACATCTCGAATACACCTCTGCACCCTGGCCACAGCAAAGCACATGAAGCATCTCGAGGAGCACGCTGGCCGCACTAAACCACATGAAACATGTCGAATCTCGCCCGGGCCACAAAAAGCCACGTGAAGCATCTCGACTGCCACGCTGACGATTCGAAAGCACATGGAACATCTCGAGTACTAGCCACACGAAACCACATGAAACATCTCGAGTACCACACTGTGAAACATTTCAAGTACCACGCTGGCAACACCAAACCGCATTTAAAAAAAAAACATCTCGTTTGCCAACGCTGGCCACACAAAACCACATGAAACATCTCGAGTACATGCTGGCCACTGGAAACCACATAAAAATCTCCTACCACGCCAGCCACGCGAAACATCTTGTGTAGAAAAATGGTCGCGCAAAACCACATGAAACATGTCGAGTTCCACGTGGGCCACACGAACCAAATGGAACATCTCGAGTACCATGTTGGCTACACGAAAAACGTCTTGAATACCCGCTGGCGACACGAAACCACATGAAACATCTCGAGGATCACGCTGGCCAAACGAAACCACATGAAGCTCGAGCACGCCACGCTGGCCACACGAAACCACATGTAACATCTCCAATACCGCGCTCCCCACACAAAACCACGTGAAGCATCCCGAGTACCACGCTGGCCACAGGAAACACATGTAACATCTCGAGTACTACACTGGCCTCACGAAACCACATAAATCATCTGAAATACCATGCTGGCCGCATGAAACCACATGAAACATTTCGAACACACGAATACCACGTTGGCCACACCAACGAACATGAACCATCTCGAGTACTAAGCTGGCCACACGAAACCACATGAAACATCTTTTAGCACCACGCTGCAACGTCTCGAATACCACGAAACCACCGCTCCGGAACTTCTGCGGAAATCGCTGGACCAGCCCAGATCCGGAACCGCTCCGGAATTGGCAGTAACCGGCGTCCAGAATCCGCTCCGGAAACTGCTTCGGAACCCGCTCCGGGACCCGCTCCGGAACCGCTCCGGAACCCACTCCGGAACCTGTTCCGGAACCCGCTCCAAAACCCAAGGGCTGAAGACCCCATCGCTTCGCTGTTGGGGAAAGATGATGGCGAAAGAACGGGTTGTGAGCACTTTATCTCATGAACGAGAGAGGTTCACACACACACACACACATTGCCCAGTGACAGGCGCGCATGCTGTTGAAAATCATAGGACAATGTGGTATGCTGCAATGCGGTGTTCCTACCACGGTCCTGGCATGACAAGTGTTCCCTTCAACTGTGGCAACCGGGTGCAGCAGCCGTGGTCACTGGCAGACAGGTGTTCCTATCGGTTGCAAAGGTCCCTGTGTTAAAACGGCAAGTGGCCCTGGTTGTGGTCGGTACGGTCAGTGCCACCGGCATGGGGGTACACTGTCGTGCAGGTGATGTTGCTGATGTGCTGTGCTTGTGAAAACAAACGTCTGCTGAAAACTTGCGTATATTAGGCGAATACAACCGATTGCGCTTTCAAGGATGCTCTAGCACTTTACAGCAAAGACTGTACCGCGATAGACTCAGATGCATACAAGCAGAATAGAAGAGAGAAAAGGTGGGACAGACTAGCCGGCAGAGGCAGAAGCTTGCGCACGGACAACTCTAGAAGTACCAGATGCACATGCCGTCCTGTGCCAGCGTCTCGGGGCCGTCGGACGTAGAATCGAGAAGTTCAAAACACCTATAGCGAGTTGAGGTGAGTGGGAGAGAGAGAGAGAAAGAGAGAGAGAGAGGCACCCCAAATGGTAGAATGGAAATAAACGTATCCCCTTCAACGAGGACTGCCTCCGATGGAGACCACCACGGCACCATGACGGAAAGCCGTTGTCAGCACACTGAGAAAGTTTTGGCTGCACTCTGGACGGCTTCTCTGTTCCAAATTACTCTTGCTGGCTGTGTACCCCTGTGGCAAAAAGTATTCCACTCCATATGCACCAGTTGGCGCGACGGACCCAGATGCAATGAGAGTGGAAAGAGCAGGTACGTTTGCACAGGCTTTCCGGGCAGGTCTTCGTTGACCACTGCTCCCCGGAGGCTTCGTTGGTCCCCTGCAGAAGATGTTGGCGAAAAAATAGGTTTTCAGCCCCTTATCTCATGAACATTCATGACCGAGGCGAGGTTCACATACAAACACACACACTCTCTCACACATATGCACCCACGCACACGCACACACACACGCACACACGCACACACGCAAACACACACACACACACACACATGCGCGCACTCGCACACATGCACACACGCACACGCACAGGCACACGCACACAGAGACAGACCCATGTGCGTTTCCGACTCATGCCTTGGAGCTACCGCATAATTAATGACTAGAGGACTGCTGAATGGCCATGGTGCATTGGCCTCATATACGACAAGGTAATCCCTTCATTCAGCAGCCACTGGCAGCGCCAAAATTCCAGCCACATCCTCCAGCAAAGCCTCCATAAACCGAAATGATTTGCGTGGATTTGGTGCTACATGTCATACGTCGTGGACACAGACATACACACACACAAAACAAAAACGAAAGACTACATTTCGACTGTGAGACTGTGACTTTCACGCTTTGTGCAGATGTCTACCGTGAACTTGCCCCCGCATTGCGTGGACCCGTCACTCAATGTGGAACAATGACAATGTCTAAACAACTGTGAGTTGAAGCCTCACCGGCTGTGCGAAACTTCTATTGAAACAATTTATTCAATATTCAGGGTTGGCATCAAAGTCGAAACTCCAACGGCTGGCAGGGCGTTGCATGAAAGACGTTTGCAGTGTGACCCTGCGGTAAACTGAGCAACAGTGCCTTGTGCGATGCGAGACCCTTTGATGGGAGGGCTGTACCCAATGCATGTCGGGAGCGTGCATGACCCGACAGCAATGTCGAATCTTGCTTACCGAACCAATTTGAAGCGGCTTGGAAAGTTTTCCATTCCTCGGCAAAATCAGATGCTTCAACAGGCAAATCAACGGCACAAACAAGGCCGTCGGTACTTTTCGACCTGTCTTGACAAAATTGACAAGCAACTCGGCCCAGTGAGGAATTTGCATGCTCATGGTGCTTAGCTTATGTGCTTAACCCACATAAGCATACATACATTCACAAAGAAATTTACGGAGCACCAGTGTGTACAAGACACAACAAACAAACAACTGATCAAACTAAACATGCGCGCATACACACACGCACACACGTGAACACGTAGACTTGCAGCAGACCACAGGTCTGGGTCGCCGGTGTTGTGGCTCTAATGTCTCGGATCTTCCTGTCTAGGACTTGTTTTTATTCTTACTTTGCGTGGACGCCCTGGCAAGCTACTTATTTCGACATACCTTCGGCATAACCTTTAGAAAGTCAAGAAGAACATGAAACGTCAGGACATCACATGATATCACATGATCGCCTGGCAAGGCATCATACACGGCATGCACTATGAATGTCAAGAACGGCCCGTGCAGTTTGGTGTCTGCGCAAGTCGATCGCGTGATCTTTTTGCAGCTCGCGGCTGCAAAGCAGCTGGCCGTCTGCAGCGACGAAAGAGGATCCAGGAGAAAGGATGGCGCGGTAGAGCCACAGGAAATGAGCATTTGGATTCATTGTCAGGTGTGGAACCGATTCTTGTCCGCGACACGTCTTCTATACCCACAACACGAGCACACCCACACGAGTGCAAGACCGAGCCAAAATGGGAGACATGACATCTCGCTATCACGCAAGAAGAAGACACTTTTGGAAGCGTAGCGGCAGGCGGCGAAGTGCAAACGAAATCGCATTCCAGATCGAAACATCTCAGAAGTCGATCGGAGCGAATCGTTGCGTATCACCCCACCACTCCAATATGCAAGAATAGATACAGGGCGGTGTGGGCGGGCTGAAAATCTTTGCAAGCCTCGAGCGGGCAACAGCTGCGGTATCTTGCTGTTGCCGCTCGTACATGTCACTACGTGCACACGTGCACTACACGACATCTCGCTATCACGCAAGAAGAAGACACTTTTGGAAGCGCAGCGGCAGGCGGCGAAGTGCAAACGAAATCGCATTCCAGATCGAAACATCTCAGAAGTCGATCGGAGCGAATCGTTGCGTATCACCATAGGTGTGCCGCCTGCACCATTAAAGCACACCGGAAGCCCTAAACCTCTCAGAGCCCGTCAGTAGTTCTTCGAAGAGGCCGTCCCAGTCCCTCTGCAACTCTGTCCAGCCTTCGGCTCGAGCGTGGCGCAGGTCTCCTCTGCTGACCGAGTCACTCACGTTGGCGGAAGATGTCACTCTCTGCCACGCTGGTCGGAAGGAGTTCTCTTCAAGAAAACGCCATGCGTGTTGTAGCAAGCAATTGATCGACTCGTCCTTGCCGAAGCCGCACGTGAGCGCGTGGCGCGCTGGTCCATTGTCAACGAACAGCAAGACGTGGCGATCGAGTTGTTCTTGCATGGCGAACAGCGGGAGAATCTGGGCCACGATCTCCAACATGTAGATGTAAGCGCGACGGCTTGTGAATGCTCGCACGAACCAGTAAGGCACACGTCCGTGTGCGAAATAGGTCCGGCCCTGCACTGTGACGACAAAGCCCCATCCGTTCTTCAGTGTCTCCGGCGGCGTGCGTCCCCAGTTGGGTATGTCTTCGTCGGAGGGCTTCCAGTCCTTGTCGAAGAGGTTGAAGAACGCGTCGGCGTACAGCACGGAGTGCGCCTCCTTCTGAAAGGGAAAGGTCCTTGGTGGTGCGTGTCGTAAGCTCCATCGCAGGAGGCCGATGCCATGGCGAAGCTGTCCATCGAGTCGCCAATCTTGGTGTTGTCTCCCGGAACCTGTCAGTCGAGATCTGCGGAACAACGGTCGGAGCGCTGCTGCATGCGATCGTCCTCGAAGTAACTGGCAGTAGAACTGTAGCTTCCCTGCTAGACTCGCTGCTTCATGAGGTGGAAGGCGATCTTGCGTGAGCACGTCGGCGAGCGTCTCGTCGAGACGTTGTCGGCGTTCTTCTGTACCCTGGACCGTGACGGAGTCGGCGCTGACGCTGATGCTGACGCCCTGAATGACCTGCTGTGAAGCGGGAGGCTGTTCCTTGGACTGCTTAAAAGAAAAACCCAAAGCCTTGCAGAGTCGTCGCGAGGCGTCGAAGGAAGAGCGGGCGAGCTCCGTGACCTCAGCGCTGCCGAAATCGTCGACGAAATGAAGTGCGGGCGTGAATATGCATGCCCGGCATAACCACCCCATGAGGTCTGCTATTCTGCAGTACGACCATACGCTCGCCACTGACCCAAACATTAGGACAGTGTGGCGCCAGAGGGTCAATCCTTCGGGCGTAGCGAGGACCACGTAAGTGTGTGACGGGTCGAGCGCCGGGAGCTGCCTGTACGCGGCTTCGTGATCGAGGCCCCAGATGAAGATCTCGGCCTGCGGGTCGATCTCCTTGATGGCCCTGATCAGCTGTTCGTAGGAGGCCACGTCGTGGTACGGCGGCGAGTCCTCGGCTGCGACCGTGGCGTTCGCGAAGGACCTTCGCCAGTCTTCTGCTCTTCGGACTTTGGGGCGGCCGTCGGAGCCGACCTGGTGCACTGCAAAGGCGAAGCAAGTTGGCTTGTGTTCGTCGGGGCCCCGAAGTAGCTGGCTAGTGTGAGAGTGCGAAGTGAGAGGCACTGCTGTCTTAGGCCAACATGTCGGGCTGGAGAAAGGACCCTCCATTCGGCCGAGCTCCACATCCGCTGCGATCTCGTCGGCCATCTGCCTCCAGCATGGGTCGACTCGGCATCGGCGAAGTTTGTCCACGACGTACTGCTTGTTCTTGTGTAAGAACTCCTGGAGGTCCAACGGGTTGGCGTAGCGCTCATCGTTCCGTCGTTTCCACCCCAAGCCCGGGGCGAGCGGCCCAAGGAGGCGGAAACCTGTGGTGAGCTCGTCAAAGATGGCCCTGTCCTGCCAGCCGAACAACTCGCAGATGTGGCGAAGCGCGGGCAGCTGCAGGGTGCATACTCCGTGTTTGCTCCGGTATGCTTTCTGAACGTGCGGGCTCAGGCTCTGGTACCAACGCGTGGTCTCGTCTTCCAAGTCCAGTACGAGCTGCTCGACCTGGTCGACCACTGCGAGGCGGAGGTCCGCGAGGTGACTCCTCATGCGGGACCATATTCGGAGCCATTGCTGTAGGCCCGGTTCCATGTGAGCGTCGCGGTGGTCGGGATGCGGCATCTGTCGCGACAGTCTCCAATGTTCTGAGGGGTCCTGCAGATAGGACAGGTCAAAGGCGTCGTACTCGCCGGGTCCCGGGCCGAGGAGAGGAGGACGTCCTTGCCACAAGTTCGCCGCGATGTCCAAAGCTGTACCTCCAAGTGGGTTGAGCTCCCTGGCGGCGACGACGGGCGTGGCGGCGAACATGGCCATGATGAAAATGAGGCGTGCGGCTCCCGCGTGCCAACCGTTGGCCAGTGCTTTGTGACGTTCGTGTTCGGAGAGCTTGCTTGTCCATCCTTCCGGTATAGGTGATGCCATTGCTCTTTGACTGCAGGAGGCGGAATCACAAAGCGTCCCTGGCTATCCGACATCATCACCCCCGCCTCGTAATGCCAAGGAGCGAAGCGTTGTCGGTCGGAGCGCCAGCGTTGGTTGGCCTCGCTGCTGA